TTTCTCTTTGTGTATCTTTTTTTTTTTTTTCTCTCATCATAATAAACATGCTACCTATACTGCCTCATCGTATACATATAGGTGTCCAATATATAAAGATTATCAAGATATAAGGTTAATGACAATGGCGAAAATTTGTATATGAGGCTGCCAGATGTGTTTATATAATGCGTAGGGTGGAGCTATAAGCCGAGTTGACATCTCCCCCAACCCCCATATTTCTCTCTCTCTCTCTCTTATCCCCTCCTTTCCTACTTCCAGCTTTCTTATTTCTTCCTTTCCTCCACTCCTTTTGCCTTCCCTTCAGACCCCGCCGCCCGCCGCCCATCTCCATCCCCCTTGAAAACTTATCCCTCCAGCATCTCTTAACCTTGGACCATCTATGCCTACCTCTCACCTCATCCCCCACCTCCCCCATAAAGACACAGGTATCCCCTCCCCAAGACATTATGGTTGATAGTCTTAGATGAGAGTAGGTGATATACAACCTTGTGTATACAATTAGAGGTGAGCCTTGGTTGAGAGGCCACTGGCGTCTGCTGGTAGGCTTGGGGGAGTGTGGGAGGCGATGGTGGTGATGTTGGCTATGTGGTGGTGATAACGATGGTGGTGGTAGTGATGGTGGGGAGGGGGATAGTGGAGGTGGTATAAATTTTGGGTTTTTGTTGTTGTTGGTTTTTGAAGGGAATGAATGTGTTCTTAGTGCCTCACCTCTTGTATTGTTCTTTGTCTGTTTATTTGTTTTTATTGACACTTCTTATACTTATCTTACCGTCTTTAGTGTATATTTTTTATTAAGGGAAATTTCTTCGTCTTGTGCAGTATCTTATTCAGGTGTGTGTGTGTGTGTGTGTGTGTGTGTGTGTTTGTGTGTGTGTGTGTGTGTGTGTGTGTGGTGTGTGTGTGTGTGTGTCTCATTATTCGAGATAAGTTTACATACATTTACTGAAGGATCTCTGCCACAGCACCACACTTGAACAGCCGCTTCACCGCCACCACCATGGAACAACCTCCCCATCACCGTCATAAACCACCTCTCCAACACTACCACCATCTTAAACCACCTCTCCAACACCACCATCATCTTAAACCACCTCTCCCACACCACCACCACCCCTCCTCCTGCAGGGTTCAATGAGGCCGAGCTGACACCTCCAATACTAACACCTGTTCCCACAATGGCCGGTAACCTCACGTAGACTTAATTCTTTTCCCGATTAGAATGAAAGTGGTGAATCTTTTTGTCTCACGCTGTACTGGTCCTTACGGGAAAACCCCCTTCTAGTCTTGTGTGGTAATGTGAATGCTGACATAAGAACATAAGAATGGAGGAACCTGTAGCGGGCCTATTGGCCCATACTGGGCAGTCCCATTTACACCCAACCCCTATTGCTCATATATCCATCCAACCTATGTTTGAAGCTATCCAGCGTATACGAGTTAATGATGATATTTGGTAACTTGTTCCACTCGTCCACTATTCTATTCTTAAACCAATGTTTACCTATTTTGCGCCTAAATAATGGTCCAAGTACTGAGCCATGGGGAACTCCACTAGCGACGTTGCTCCAATGGGATTTAGTGCCGTTAATGCTCATTCGCTGTTTCCTGTCCCGTAACCACGCCCTAATCCATTTTAGAATATCTCCTTTAATGCCATGAGCCTCCACTTTTCTTATTAGTCTTTCGTGGGGGACTCTGTCGAAGGCTTTGCTAAAGTCGAGATATACCACATCATAATTGTGCCCCTCGTCCACTGATTCGAAAACAGATGACAAGAATATTAATAGATTAGTTAGACATGAACGCGTGCTTGTGAAGCCATGTTGGGAATCATTGATCAACTTGTGCTTCTCCATGTGTTTTCGAATAGAGTTTGAAATGATTCCTTCCAGTAATTTGCCTACGATTGATGTTAGACTGATTGGACGATAGTTAGAGGATAGTGATCTATCTCCCTTCTTGAAAATCGGTATTACATTCGCTATCCTCCAGGATTCTGGTACTACACCCGTTTTTAAGGACGTGCTAAACAAATTTGCTAAGCTCTTCCTTACATTCCTGTAATACTCTGGCATATATCTCATCTGGACCAGGTGACTTATTTGGCTTTTGTTTGTCCATTTGCTTACTAACATCGTTACTAGTCACTACTATCTCACTTAATTTATTTTCTTCACTATCTCTGTATATAGTCGGTGCCTCGGGTATCATGTTTAAATTTTCGGTGGTGAAAACTGTTGAAAAATATTTATTCAGATTATTGCTCATTTCTCCGTCGCCTGGCATTTGGGTTCGTAATCTTCAGGTCATTCCCCTATGTAAAATGAAGTTTCTGTATCGTGTCGTGGCTGTATCGTGTCGTGGTTGTTTCGTGTCGTGGCTGTGTCGTGTCGTGGCTGTATCGTGTCGTGGTTGTTTCGTGTCGTGGCTGTATCGTGTCGTGGCTGTATCGTGTCGTGGTTGTTTCGTGTCGTGGCTGTATCGTGTCGTGGCTGTATCGTGTCGTGGCTGTATCGTGTCGTGGTTGTATCATGTCGTGGACTGCCTCGTGTATCGCCCCCTAAAAAGGATTAAAAATACCCATGAACTTCTATGGTGATAATTATATTGTGAGATGTGGCAGATATGGGACAGGTAGAGCGAGTTTAAGGGTACTGAGTTGGGTTGGGGATGTGGTGGGGTGGATTAACCTCATCCAACCTTTCCCGCGCGACAAGTTACACAGCCCCAACTCAGATTTAACACCATCTGCGCTGACCCTCTGTGTTCTATCGGTGAGCCATGATTTTATCCAATTTAAAACTTTCCCCTCGATACCATGAGCCTTAACTTTTCTCAGAAGCCTCTGATGCGGTACTCTGTCAAATGCTTTGCTAAAGTCTAAGTAAATAACATCGTAATTTTCGTCATTATCTACTACCTCGAAGACTTTCCTAAAAAACGTTAGCAGATTTGTTAGACAAGATTTTTCCTTTCTAAACCCGTGTTGAGAGTCGTAGATTAATTTGCTTTCCTCTAAATGCGATCGGATGCTATCTGCTATAATTAATTGATCAAGAAATTTCCCCATTACTGACGTCAAACTGATCGGCTGGTAATTTGACGCTGATGCTCTGTCTCCCTTTTTTAATATGGGTACTACATTTGCCTGTTTCCACAAGCCTGGCACAACTCCCGTGTCTAATGACTTTGTAAATAAATTTACGAGGGGTCCGCTAATCTGTTCCTTACACTCTTTCAAGACTCGAGGGAAAATTTCATCCCGCCCTGGGGATTTTGTCTTCTTTAGTTTAATTTTCCTTTTAAGAACATTCTCCTTTCTGATAGTGATATTCTTTAATTTCTCTTCTTCCTTTCCCCTAAATATCAGTTCCACCTCTGGAATTTCCTCACGAATTTCTTCTGTGAAAACTGATAAGAAGTAGCTGTTCAATGCTTTTCTTATTTCTTCACTGCCATTTATCACTTCCCCCTCCCTGACTTTAAAGGCCCAACTTTGTCCTTGACCTTTGTTCTATATACCTGGAAAATTCCCTTGGGATTCGCCTTGGATTCTCTTGTTATTCTGATTTCATAGTCTCTTACATTTTTCTTTCTTTCTTTCATATTAATATAACAGGAAAAAGTATCATTATTTTTGGAGGGAATTTTATGTTTTATTTTATTTATCATTGTATTTTATTGTCTGTGTGTGATATTTTGTTTCATTGTATTTTTTGACTTTATTTTGAGGTTAATTTTGTATTTATTTATTTACTTTTTTGTTTTTTACAGATGACGAATGAGGTACACACGGAGATGGATATTGATAAGAACGTGTGGTGAAACAAGTGAATAACGATACCTACATTTAATACTCATTCTCATCCACCCCTCCCCGGACATCTACCTGTACGTGCTAATTTCCTCCTGCTGCTAATTGCACGTCCACCCAGCATGATCTCACCTGTCTGGGAAAATAACACAGGTAGGCTTGATATTGTAAGTGGAAGATGGATTGTCCCCCCCGTCAGTATCACCCTGAACCTTTGTTGGAGGTTGTGGTGCTGGTGTTAGTGGTGATGATGGTGTTGGTGGTGTTGATGGCATTATTAGTAGTGGTGGTGATAGTATTAGTGGTGGTGGCATTAGTTATGGTGGTATTAGTGGTGGTGATGGCATTAGTGGTGGTGGTGGCATTAGTTATGGTGGTATTAGTGGTGGTGATGGCATTGGTGGTGGTGGCATTAGTAGTGGTGATGGTATGGTAGTGTAGATGCCTCCACAGTCATCCACGCCGACGTTACTATGGTAGTGATTCATGACCATTGTAATCATCCACGCCCTTAGTATTGTAATCATGTTTCCTCAACTTACTTTTCCACTTTCTTAATGACGAATCTGTTCTCAAGTGTGCCAAAATCGCGTGTCCTAACTTCACCTGGTTTTTATATATCATCACCCGTGTCCGCCCCATAATACACACTACTAAATAAAAAATACTTTACTCAATATTCCAAAATACACGATGCATATTACAATGTTTAGGATAGGTTACGTGAGGTTAGGTTAGATGAGGTTAGGTTCGGCCTGAACCACCGTGGAGGGTCCTGACTCCACCTGAAGAATTGTCACCCTGCCAAATTCTGGGGTGACGATTCTTCAGGTGATCCCAAAAGGATTATCATCACAAAGACTAACAAAAAGAGTGTGGGAGAGTTTATTGTGCACAGTTATCACAGTTAATATGAGTGAGGCGCCATGCTGGGGTTGTTCACTCAAGGATGGTGACATTCTACTCTTCAGGGGGAATGTTCATCACACACAGGTAGAGTATTTATTGATTAAGATCCACCAATGGAAGAGTCAAGCCCATCAAGTGTTATACAAGTCTTAGGTTAACCATGTAATTAGGTTATACACTTGGTGCTAGATGCCCTCAACACTTACCATAGTGAATGAAGCAAAATTGACTAATGCGTCTTGTGGTATTCAAATGGGAAACACAAACCCAAGCATTCACGTCATGCAGTTTAATACTGGCAAGTATACTCACAGTGTGTGAGAGTAACAAAACACATTTGTACATATAGGTAGTAATGAAATCCCCAAGTGTGGGAACTGCCCTTTGGTCATAGTATGTTGTTCCAGGCTATGGTCAGTTAGGTGTGTGGATGGACGAGATGAGGGTGTCGATGATATCCTGCGCATATTGGGAAGCTGTTTCCCGCTTCATTTTTTGGGTGTAGTAGTCGAGGGAGTAGCAGAAGCGGCCCCGGAAGGTCTGCACTGTGTGTTGACAGAGTGTGGGCATAAAGTGGCAGGACACAGAGCGCAGCACTTTGGACACCTCTACCTCCTCTCCAGTGCCAGGAAAGGTACTGTTAAGGTTGCCCATGTTGGTGACGCAGTAGTGGTTGTCGTTAGTGGAGGGCAGACCTACCTGATCCAGCCAGAAGTTACTGCCGATTACCAGTTTGAGTCGCTCGCTGATGGGTTGTACAGAGAGAGCCCGTTGTGTTGTGGTGAGGTGGTGAGCGAGATCAGAGTGAACCTGTCTGCTGTACTCCCAGAACTCTTCCAGGTTTCTTCGTTCAGTTCGGAATCCCACGTCTAACGTGGATATATGGCACCCAAATGTGTTTGGTTGTAACTGTTTAGGCCAGTAGCGTCTCATGTTTATGGCTTGTACACAGTTTATATCCGTGATATCGAGGGAGTCGCTCTTAGACGACATCATTCGGTAGAGTGCGAGGTTGGCGGCAGCTGTGAAGGCCGAGTTTAATGTGACTCCTTCCATCTTGCACCGGAGGTACAACTTCTTAGAAGTAATATCGTCTAACTCGTATTGCAACACACGCGTCGCTGCATCATTGTGGGCGGGCATCTGGAAGAGCCTCGTGAAGTTACTAATATAGGCTCCGTAGCTGAGGACTCCTTTATAAAACCGACTAAGGAATAGTGTGAATAATGACCACTGGGAGGTGGCCATGTCGGCTATTCTGTCATGCAGCGGTTCTGCAAATGTTCCTTCCTCACATATGTCAATGTCTTTTCCCTGAAGCAAGTCGTTAAGCACCTGGAGGAACACCTTACAGAATTTCATGTTTGTAGTTCCGTCACTCACGTTGTGATGAAAGCCGAAGATACACGCATATTTGTATTTTTCGTTGTGGTTCCTGTCTCGAGTACACTCTCCATCTAGGTTGAGAGACACGAAACGCACGAACCAGAGTGGTCCTTCCTCCATGCAATAGCGGCGGCGGAGTAGTGCCTCGAGAGTGGTGACCACGTCGTCGGTGACGAGCTCCTTCACGTCCACCAGCGGCACCTCCATCTCCCGCCACCACAGCTTCCCCTGGTGACGACCCAACACCACCCGCAAGTGGGGCATCTTCCTGTAATACACACAAATACATCACTATATTAACATTGGTACCTATAGCATGTTTCCTTCTCGTTTTTTTTGTGTGTATGTATGTTTGGTCGCAATAGTGTGTGATATCAGGGGTTCAAAGTTGGCACAATACTGTTTTATGGGATGTGTGTGTGTGTGTGTTTAAACATGACTTTATATAGTGTGTTTATGGGCCTATAAATGAGTGACAATCCAGCATTGAACCCCCGTTTGTTACACACACACAGGTTCCCAAATTAGTGAAACAAGAGTTTAGTTGGGCGGGAGTGATATTGCCACATCACCAACATCAACAAACTGATGCCAATTCATGTATTTTGAGTATATTATATTATTTGTAAGAAAATTTGAGCTTTTATTATTTTTATTTGTTTGTCACACGTTTATACATTTTCAAATATAAAAGTTTGGTTGCACCCTGTCAAAAAGTAACAATAATACACCTTTGAAAACTGACCTGTCAGGGATATATTCTTGAACATGTTGACTCCTTTAGATGCTTACTGAAAACATCTTGATTATAGCTATGGTCAAATTTCCATATTACCTGGCCACTGTATATTAAACTTTTCACTTAATTAGTATAAAAGGTATTTATATATACTTTCCTACCAACCTGTACATTATGGTGGTGGCGTGTTTGATGACGTCGAAGTCGATGGTTTGTCTTGCGTCCAGCCAGAGGGCATAGACGGTGGTCATGCAGCCAAAACGATGTGCAGAGGTCATTAGCTTCTCACAGTACCCAAGGGGCCTGACCCACCTGGGCTCTCGGGCATCGTGGCAGGGGGCAGCAGCCTTAGGAGTACAGGGCGCCACTCTCGATGGTGAGGAGGAGGAGCGAGGGAAGAGTTGTTGGGTGGTGGTGGTGGTTGTGGTGTAGCAAGGGTCATCGTGCAGGGATGTGTGTGTTGGCGGTTCACTCTCCACACCTGAAACACACAACTGGAGTTATATAAGTCTAATCTATGGTTACAAGCTTATAGTGACATTTTTTAAGCTAATCTTACTGTTTGCCATTTTGTATACCAGTACTGTATGTAAATTGTTTGTATACTTGCATTGCCTATGTACAATCAAAGAGAAAAGTCGTGTCGCGGTTTTGTCCGAAGATTAAATCTAACTCGGTACATTTTATACACTGTGTATATTGTCTACGCACATGCGGAACCAATCTATTGATCTTCGTCACAGGTGTGTGTGTGTGTGTGTGTGTGTGTGTGTGTGTGTGTGTGTGTGTGTTAATATTTACAGTATATGTTATTTAAAGTGTATGTGAACATTAGGGGTGTGGTTTGACCTTACTAAAGACTTGACCTTTAAATCTATATACTTACTGTGATGTAATGGAAGAGTTGGTTTATTTTAGTGATTCGTGAAGCAAGGCTCATATTTTTCACTCATGTATTGACTCATGAAACAAGACTCTCCCATATATCATTAATATCTTAAAGTGTATCATGAAGCAAGACTCACATGGATGTCTTTAAATGTACTCGTGAATCAAGTCATACATACATCACTAATACCTTTAACTTCTTGCGGGTAATATATAAAGCAGGATGTGCCAGTCATGAAAATGCTTTACTCACCCTCTGCAAACATTCATCACCCATTGGAAACAACCACTATCACGCGTTGAAGAGATAACACTCATCAATTTTCAATGCCGAAGAATCTTAACAGCAAAAATTAAACTAGCTAAATGAAATAATTGTCTACCAAGCTACCAGACTGCAGTGAACACAAGGAACAGAACCATACAAGGATGAAGTCGTAACCAGAAGTGATGGTTTATCGTGGGAAATAAGATGCCCCCTCCCTCCCTCCCTCCCTTTTGGTCGACACATCACCAGGGATTATCGACTTGACTGAAAAGGTAACTTCCCTCACCGTTTTTATCAAGATGAATGTTTTTAAGTCAGTTTAAGGAATTTATAGATGGTTTATTGTTGTTTGGGGAGACCTGTGTAGAAGAGGATATGTTTCTGGTGTGTTTGTGATCAATGTGTGTTGCTTTGTCATTTGTCTAGTTGTGGCCCGGAGAACCTCTCATATGTGGTGTGGACGGTGGTAGAGGGAGGGAGGGAGAGGTTGATGGTGGTACGGAAGTTGTGTGAGGGAGAGAGGGAGGGAAGCAGGTAGTGAGTTGGTGGAATGGAAGCCAAGGTAACTATGGTAAGGTATAGCTACAGGAGGTGGCAGGCCAGGACAGTCAGCTTTACTTAGGTCGAGGTCAACAACTAGACAGGTGTTGGTATTATTGGTGGCTGTTGGTGGAGAAGCTGACCTAGCCTAATGCTGACCTAATGCTAACCTAAGCAAACCCAAAGGAAACTGGACCTCTGAGCTGGTGAGGTCATTTAGGTAGGAACTGGTGAGAGACGAACACACACACAGTATGCCGCCTTATAGACAGGATTGGAAGGAACAACAAAAATAATAATCCCTAAACCTAGAATAGGGTGGTGTGTGTGGGTACAGTATGATGTGTGTGGGTACAATATAGCGTGTGTGGGTACAGGAGAGCGTGTGTGGGTACAGTATGATGTGTGTGGGTACAATATAGCGTGTGTGGGTACAAGAAAGCGTGTGTGGGTACAGGAGAGCGTGTGTGGGTACAGTATGATGTGTGTGGGTACAATATAGCGTGTGTGGGTACAAGAAAGCGTGTGTGGGTACAGGAGAGCGTGTGTGGGTACAAGATAGCGTGTGTGGGTACAGGATAGCGTGTGTGGGTACAGGAAAGTGTGTGGGCACAGGATATCGTGTGTGGGTACAGGATAACGTGTCTAGGTGCAGTATGATGTGTGTGGGTACAGGAAGGAGTGTGTGAGTGGCGTTGAAATGAAACATCCGCCTGGGGAAATTCTTGTCCTATTCCCACAACAGGTTCTACCCGTTCCCTGTTTGCTGGTTCACCTTTCCCATTTACTGTTCCACTTCCTGTCCCATCCCAACTGATCCATTTAGTGGGGCCCCCTCCCCTACTTCCTCTCCCACCTTTCCCATTTAGTGGTCCACCTCTAGTCCACCTGTCACGTGCCTTCATGCGACCTACCTCAACCTAACCTAACGTCAGATATAACAACTCACTCGTCCGGTAGTGTGCATCATGTGACGTCTCTGGTATGTCCGGCCATTGTCTTCCACATTAACAAAACAATACAGTTAAAGTATCATCCTCAAACCAGGTTCACTGTCTTCCCGTGTGAGCTGTGTCTATAGTGTAACATAGACGTCTCCTGCTGAACTGGCGTGTAGCTACATCATGAAAACATTCAGTACCACAACTACACTCAAAAGATCAACTTCATAACCACTGTTTTTCTCGATTTATTGTCGGTTGTCGGTACAGTATGTGTAAAGGCTTTTTTGGGGGGAGAGGGGAGTGTCTTGGTCAAGTTTATTTTTCTCTTGAAAACTCGGGCGCCAACGTGCTCAGCTATAACGTCACCCTGAGCCTGGCGCCCTAACGTCTATTTGGGAACCATTCAAGCCCTAACCTCTGGGTTAGTGAAAACTGAGCTGTACTTCAATTTCCTATATATTTCACTGATATACATTGATGTCTGAAGATGTTGCACAATGATTTTTTTTATCAAGTCCGATAGACACACAGGTTCCAATAACAGCTAATGTGACTTTTAAAATTGGAACTACTGATGAGCCAAGGACACACACACACACACACACACACACACACACACACACACACACACACACACACACACACACACACACCCCATGACCAGTCCAGGCCCGGGCCATCAACTGTAAACTATAATAATTTGTATGTTCAATTCATGTTCCTTCTTCTTTCGGTAATGAAAGCTTTTGTTAAACGACCCACCCACCCACCCCATGTCTTTGTATGTAATAAGTAATTTTTGTCCAATGTACATTTTCAGCCTTCGGGCTGCCGACTTTTTCAATAAACCGTTAATTATTATTATTATTATTATTTACACACACACACACACACACACACACACACACACACACACCATCAGCACTAGACAGTACCAGCGAGAGCCGTGACCCACCAGTGAGATAAGCACCCCTGGGAACCATCATCTGGCCAGACGGTGTTAATCAGTCCACCCTGGGAACAACAGTGGGTCGGCTTTACACCTGACCATAAGATAACACAACACTGCTTAGCAGAGAATGAAGTACTGTAACACCACACACACCACACAGTGTCTCCATGACCACGTGTTAACACTGACGGACGAATTACTACACTAAGTGAACACCACACCACCCGGTGTCTCCATGTGTAATAATAAGTAGCGGTTTATTGAAAAAGTTGAGCAGCCCGAAGGTCAGCATTCGTGTCATGAAACAAAAAACAAGCGGCAGTAACCTTTTGCATTTAACCGACCTTACTGATGACAGCTTTCAATTTGTCACGTCAAACCTTAAAAAAAATCTAACAAGAACAGCGAGGTGAAAATATAAAGAGGCAGTTTCTTCCTTGTAAATTCAGTCACATTCATCAGGGGCGAAGGTCGCTTGGAACGGTACAAGGACAGAAACTCACTGGCTGGGTTAGAGCTGACAATATATTAACGTTAAGCTAGGTTAAATGTCACGATATTAACTTAAGGCGAGGTTAAATGTCACGACATTAACGTTAGGTGTACTGAAGGTTAAATGTCGCACTATTTAGACCACATCATGTTAGATCACGTTGGGTTTGTCCCGTGAGTACTTGTCCTATATTCCCTGTTGTCAACACCTATGAATTAATATTGATGTCTTTATATACAATACCAGATGTTGTGAGTTTCGTAGTTGTAGTTGTGATGTGGGGTTTTTGTACGGTGGCAGTTGTGGTTTTTGTACAATTATAACCTCAACGACCCTTTACAAGTCCTTACCGGAGTTGTTAAAGCGCTGTAATACATCATAACATACTCTTACACTTTCTCAATAAATTAACCCAGACAAACGTTATGAAAGAAAGCCAGACGATGCTAGACGTTGTGTTTTAATGACTCTCCACCTTTCTCTCTCTATGTCTGGCTTTCCTCTCTCTCTCCGTTTGCCTCTCTCTCTCTATCTGTCTACCTTTCTCTCTCTGTCTGTCTTTCTCTGTCTGTCTATCTCTCTCTCTCTCTCATTATGTACTCTGGTAAAAAAAAATCATTATCTCATTTCCGTCAATGAATGAGGGGGAGACTGAGACCTTGAGTAACGGTAGTGAGGTATTAAGGTAGTGGTATTTATTTTATTATAAGGTGATTGTCGGTGGTGAATAGCTTGGCGTCCTTACCTCTCCTCCTCCTCCCTCTCACTCCTTGAGAAGTTACCACACGTGTTTCCTAAGACTATAACACACACACACACACACACACACACACACACATAATGTTTTTGTTTTTCTCTCTGGTGAATATGACGCAGTGCAGTTTCCATAGAGGTCTGGGATGTTAGGTTTAGGTTAGGTTTAAGTTAGGGTTATGTTTAGGTTAGGGTTATGTTTAGATATATATATTCAGCCACTACTCTAGTTCTCCTTCTGTTGTTCAGTGTTATGTGTTGACTGCCATATCCACTGTGTTGCTCTGGCTTGCTCCTCACAACCACCACCCTCGTATGTTCAGTGCCTCGTGGACACCCTTCGTCGTGTGGGTGCTGTCTGCCTCACTATCTTTGCTTAGTCTTCTGGATACGTGTGTGATGATGATGATGATGATGATGATGATGATAATACAATAATGATTAATATAATAGTAATACTGTGCTGTATTAATAATAGACTACATGTACTAGGAATATATAGGCATAATATAATAGTATACTAAGGCTGGTGAAAGGCTATTTTATGGTCAGGACTGATGTATGGGTCAGAAGTATGGACACTAGCGGCAGACACCAGGAAGAGTTTAGAGGTCTTTGAAATGTGGTGTTATAGGCGAAGGCT